TAAGTTCTCGGGATCGGTTATTTCTTGCTTTTGGGCTGCATGTCAGGATTCAGATTTTGGATCGAAAGATGGAGAAAAGCTCCTGACTCATTTCAACAAGCTGGCCTTGCCTGTGCCTTCCGAGCCTCTGCCGTTTCCTTCACTTTGGAACCGCCCTGCCTCCTAGATGGCGGCCACCCACACCCAGCGCCGCTGCTACTATAGATGTGGCCAGGAACCAGGGCTCCTAGCTGCACATGGACTGCGCAACGCTCAACAGCTTCTAGTATTATGTAGAGAGAGCCGAGAGAGCTGGCAAACCAGAACTGACAGGGACCATGGAAATCCTGGCAGTCTAGATGGAAGATTCCAATGTGAACACAGCCAAGGAGCCAATTATTAGACTCCAAGTGGTAGAGGGACGCTTGCAGAACCCTCCAACAGCCAATTATTAGCCGTCGCGAATCAACCCTTCAGAGTTTCCCACACTAAGTTGCTGCTTCACGCCCTGTAGCTTCGGAAGTGGTGAACTTCCCCTTTCCCTTCCCCTTCCCTTCAGCGACACAATGAAAAGGCCGCTTTCTGCTGGACCCCTCGCCCGCTCCGAGACAAAGCGGGAAGATTTCGGTTCTCTTTGCTCGAGGGAACTGTGCGGCTGTTCGCCAGGGGCACGGCCCCGGAGGGTCGAAGATGGGAATTCAACAGCTTCGCAAGGCCTGGATCTCTGCGGAAGCTGTTACACCAAAACCCTCTCAATCGCCTAAACCGCCTGATGCATTTGGACCATCCAGCGGGAAAATCACAGTCGGGACACGGGAAGCGCCTGCCTCCTGGCCAAATTACCAAGTCTGTGAAGTTGCGGCTGCCAGCGGCTCGCGGTCAGCACAGCTTTGCGAGCCCGGCCGACAGCTCTCTTGCCAAGGTGTTTCGGGAACCTTCGGGATACCGGCAGCCTTTCCGACTGACTCCATGCTCAGCATTGGCATCCAAAACTTCCAATCGGAAAAGATGCTGCTTGGGCGAGAGATGCCAAGAGAGGCACCAGCCTTGACCCACACAAATTTGCCGTCGCCGGTGCTGGCCGGCTGTCGGCCCTTGTTAAAGTCATCCGGCATGCTGACACGAGCGACGAACCCCAAGGAGGAAAAGTCCATATGTGGCCCTCACGAGTCATGCAGAGAGTCACGGGTCAACGCTACAAAAAGTTCTGCATCTGCCAGCAGACCTCATCGACTTAGGACCTTCGTGAATCTGCAGAAATCCTAGCGCCCATCGCAGTACCGGATCGCCCATCCGAGGTTTCAGGTGCCCGCAAACATCAAAAATCCTTCTGTGGTCCTTTCGCTTAAACTTAAACTTGAGCCACCAGTTGATGGCATCTTGATGAGTAGATTTGGGTGCTTAGTCCTTTTCGCGTGCACAATGCACACAGTGTATCACAGTGTGCTGTGAGTTTGCAAGCCATGCCCACGTTCCCTTTGCTCAAAAACGCCACCCCCAAGTGCCCTTTGAAAGCACGGGTCATGGCCCTATGGCCATGGTCATGAAGATCTTAGAACGTGAAACAGTCGAGGCGTGCTGCTACAAAAGCTGCGTTTCTATGGCGTTCCTCTTCTTCTCTTTCGTTCATCTGCTTTTGTACCTACAACGAAGATGCTGTGTGCATCCTGCAGCTGCAGCATGGAAAGTCGCAACTGCACGTTGGCACTCATGACCTGACTCCACGTGCAGTAGCCACAGGTCCTGAACCGCCTGCCAGACTTGCAGGCGCATCCTCTTGAGCTCTTGAAGCATCGAGGCCTCCGATGCGTGCAAGACACGCAACACCAAGAAGTTGCTTGCTTCTCCGCCTTCTCTGCCAGGCTGTCAATCTGAGCCACGCGGAGAATGGGGCCACAGCCTTGCAGACACCTCGGCGTTGCATCAGCGTTCAACCCTTACACGGTCCTTGCGGATCGGAGCATGTACATAAGCTGGGACGATCTTCCTTGGACGGGCCGACCCTTCGCTGGACTCCAGAAAACATCAGAACCTGCCACACCCGCACAAGTGGCGTTTCGATCACTGAAGCTGGGATATGCACACAAGACTCCTGACCAGACATGAACGCAAGACAAGCACGCAACTAAACAGCCAAAAGCTGGGTCCGCTGGACCGCTGCACAGCATTCCCTGTCGGTGCGAGTCGGTCTGTGAGATCCCGAGGCGCAGCTGAGCCAGCAGATGCAAGCAGACGGAAAGGAGGGTGGCTGCCGGAAGCCTCGCATTAAGCTCTGGCGGTTCTGCAACTTTGCACTCGATGCGACTTCTTAGTCGAGGTGCGCAGTGGGCGGAAGCGACGTCGCAAGTTGCAGACCCCACCTGGACTGATGAAAAAGTGCTAATCTGTTTGATGAAAGCTTCCTTAGACTTCGGCAAGCGGCAATGCTGCGGAGATGCCCAGAGCAAGCTGAAACCCAAGCCAGCCTAGTCCGGTGTCACATACTCTGGTCACAGTCACTGCGCAGCCGAGAAACGCCCTGCGAGCCTGGACGCAACGGGGCTGCAGCCGCCGCTGACAGCACGCCTTACTGTAAGGTGTACAGTCTGCTCGAGGCGTTTGTGAGGGTCGAAGCCAAACGAGAGCCAAAGTGCTGCTGACAGCGACACCTGCACAGGCCCAGTCCAGCAGCAAAGCGTAAGGCCGCCTTGCGGGCAGTCGAGGTCAAATCTCTACATGCCCATGGCCCCATGGCTTCCGGAGGCACCGCGACCGCCGCAGGCCAAGGAGAGCCGTCGCGGCCGTGGCCGCCAGCTGCCTGGGCTGGGATGGGCCCCCTTTCCCACTCCTGCGGGATCTCGCTCCTCCCGGCTGGGCACGGGACCGCAGGCGTGGCGGAAGGAAGGAAGCAGTGAATGCACCCAAGAAGCAGGCGATCAACCTGAGACACTGCATACTGCCGGCACACTCCTGTTGTCCTCCGTCTCCGGGCCAGAGTACAGGATCGGAAGTCGCTCTGCTCCCCGTTGCCCTCGGTGCCAGTCGCCGTGGCAGAGGCAGAAACCCATGCTCAGGAACGAGAGCCTCAGCTCAACTTCGAACAGTGTGAACAGAGGCGGTGACGGCTAACCTCCTAGCACATCAAGTACTGACGAGGCCCACCTGTCCAGAGTGCTCCCAGCAAACACTTATCCAACTTGTAGCTAACTTCGTGGCGGGCAGCAGCACGCTCAACGGTTCCTTCGCGGGCGCTGACTATATCAGTATCAACACCAAGTACCACTTCCGGACCCCTAAAGAAGTCCTTGCAGAGCATCACCGGCTGCACCACTCGGCCCCATCCAGTGGGATGAGCAAGCTGCGCCTTCACTGGCGCGTCCAACTCCCACTCGGACAAAGCATCCTTAGCTCGCACAGCTCGTGAGCTTGGCGAGTCAACACTTTCGCTCTAACCACAGCAGAGCCGCGTGATACACAGACGAGCATGACGAATTCCGCGAAAAAGAGCTTAGGATCGACGGTGCAGTCGGCAAGGGGCCTGGAGAAGGCAGGTGTTTGCGTCGGCGGCATGTGCTCTCCAAAACAGGTGCCTGGGCGCGGTCGCAGGACCGGCGTCACGAACCTTCCACAACGGCGGAAAACCCAACAGTTCCGATCTATTGCAAGGACCGACTTACTGGGCAATGGAAGCCTTCATGGTACTGCAGATTATGGCATGGCATGGCATGGCATAGCTCTTCGGCCACAATGCGCAAGCTAGGTGCTATTGGACGGAACCACAAAGCTCCATTTCCCTGTTCGCCTGAGTTAACAAGGCCGTGCTTGAACGATTCTGCTTCAGGGACTCTCCACACGTACTCCAAAATTTGGCAAGGATCACGATTCCGAGGATTTGGGATGCGAGGCCTCTGTCAAGACAGAATCGACCACAGAGGGAAGCAAAGTTTCGGTTCCGACAGCGTTTCTCTCATCCATGTCTGCAGAACTTTTGGCGAATATCCACTCAGGCTTTTGTTGAAAGGGCGTCAGGCTGAAGCTGACTGCTGGCTGCGGACGCACATGTAATGTCGCATAGAGGCATCGGTGCTATATGTTTTTACAATTTTGCCTGAAGCTTCCTCTAAGCCGAAACCAAATCTATTGTGTACCGGGAGAACCCCGAAACCGAAAACACCTGACCCCTCTTCCAACTCAAGGGCCCTGTAAATCCAGATGGAACAGGGGGCGCGGGAACAGCTCGTAGGCAACAACACCAACGAGTTCAAAGCTCCGCTTCCACGAGCATTTAAAGTCCTGTCCACCCCTTGATGTCAAGGTCCACTTCTGGTCGTCTCCACATGTACTGAATCCGATCAGATTCCTGCCCAGAAGCGTAGACCCACTGCTTTGGCAGGTCTCCAGCGTCGCCCGCTCCACGTCCTCTTGCAGGGCATCAAAGAATTCCTCGAGCGGCTCCTGTCCAGTTGGAGGTTCAGCTTCGACATGCGAGGGCAAGACATGAAAAGCTCCTCACAGACCTTACGTGTACCCCAGAACCAGCGAGGCTTAGCTGAAAACTAAAGAACAGCAAGGGCGTTCCGGACGCGCCCAGTTCCTCACAGCCCAGTTCTGCATCCGGAAGGCCATTGCCTTCGAGTGCAAACTCGCAAGTGAAGCCTAAGGGGGCTCTTGGCCATCTTCGCCTAGCACACATGGGGAAAGCATCAGCTTCTAGCTTCTGGCCTGAGGATGGATCTCCATGGCTGTCCATGGCTTGTGTTTCAGGTTCTTTTGCAACTCCTGGTGACTCCCCTTGTGGGACCGGACCCCCATGCCACAGTTTCGCTTCTTGAGTTCTTAATCTTGCTCAAGACGTTCCAAGCCAAGTAGCCCTCGGGTGCTGGCGGCACGATTGCGAGACTCAAGCTTGCAGCAGTCGAGGCTTGCACTTCAGAACGCTCCAATCGATCCACCGAGTTCAAAAAGATGCTCCCACATGCCCTGTGCTGCGCCATGCGAGCTTAGAGGCTTCGAGTCAGAGGGCTCGAACCCGAGCTCGGAGCCAGTGCCAGGTGGATCACCGTCACGCCCATCGAAACCCGTGTGACCTGGTCAAAACGGAGATGTGGCTCAGCCCCGAACGTGGCAACAACTCCTATAGCGGCTCGCTGCCTTCGGGGCCTGAATTCCAGTAGAATCCAGAAAATAGACGAGTGCTTTCCTGGCGGCTTAAGCAGCTCTAGGCTCTAGTGGCTCTTTGGATCTTGTGGCGCTTTGAGGGCACTGCATTTCTACAAACAGGCTGCAGCACAGGACGAGCAGCGGCGTGTCGCTCAGCAAGGACAGGCAGCCAATCCGGGACAAGACCTGGTGCAAGAGAAGGGCAAAGCACAAAGAACGAGAAAAATAGGCACTTACAACACGCTGATTGCTCCATGTGTTGCCACCATAGCATCGTTCCGTTTGCTGCTCTTTCTTTTCAGGGATCCGTGTGCAAAGGAGACTTCAACAATCGCAACAGGCTTTGGCTTGGCAACCTGCACAAATCCCAACCAACACCCGGACCATCAGTTTTGGGTTCGACCCGAAGCCACCAAGTAGTGTACACTCATTTGGAGACGCTTGACATCGCTCAAAGCTTCGCCAGTGAGCTTGTTTGATGGGCTTAAACCATGAGCCCTGAGTTCTTGAGCAGAATGCTGCAGAAAGCGACCAAACTCAGTGATCGGCACAGTAAAGCATGTGCTTTTTCGGGTAACTCTCCCCTCTGCCTCGTTCATCTTGCTTGGAGTTCCAAAATGTATATTGAAGAGGTCGACGTCGAAAAGCCTATGTCAGGCTCGAAGCGAGCTCAGAGTCAGTTTTGTTCTAGGGTTCACCTCTTGCCGAACCTGGTTCACTATGCATCTCAGATTGGGGTCACAAAATCTGCCCGCCCCACCCACCAAACTTCAGGTCCGGCTTATGGACCAGTTGCCACTGGCCATTCGCGCTTCATTCGCCTGGCGGCCCTGATCTGAATCGAGCCAGTCGTAGCTGGCAGGCAATGAAAAAGTGCGACCGTCTTGAACACACCGACAAGCTAAAGCAAGAGTAAAAAAAAGATCATCCCTAAGCCTCAACAGTAACAGAGTTACTACACAAGCACAGTTGATGCATGGCATCAACAAATAGTAGCAACTTCATGCAACGTACAGTAATCGTCACCTTCTTGTCACGTGCCCGTCCGGCGGCCATTGTCCCTCAAATCAAGCGGTGGTAATCTGGTACAGAAGGCTCCATCACATCCAGCAACGAATGCGTTGATGGACGAGCATGATGCAGCTTCCGGCCCCTCGCCATTCATTGCAACCCTGGCTGCGCCCTGCCTGCAGGTGAAGAGAAAGCATGCTTGCGGATTTGCATACCTGCAAGTGGCTGCAGCACGAAGCAGGCATGCATGCTCATTCATGTACCCGGCATGTTGCCGTCGCTCGCATCAGCCCAAAGGAGGAAGGGGGAAACCTGCGGAGTGTGAAACGCCGAGGAGGCGGCATCAGAAGGAAAATCACGTGCAGGCCGAGGCCATGCTTGTGATACCTCGGCTCTCCAAACTTCATCAGAACTCATACCAGGGCACAACAGTTCTAGAAACCAGCGACAAAGGCCAGCGCTCATACCAGGGCATCGAGACCAGAAATTTGCGACGGAACCAGAAGTGCACGGCCCTCGGCTGCATCTCCCGCATGAATAGCTCGACAACACTTTACACACCGAGCAAAAGGACGATTTGCACATTGCACAGCAGAGCCAATACGCAGGAATGAAAGAATGGTGCTCTTCGTGTGCCAGGTTTGTGGCAGGAAGTTGATGACGATACCACTCGCAAGACAAACCAAGCCCACCTGGCTCCAGAGCGCAACACTTCACATCTGCACCAATATGGTCCGAACCTCATAGATTCGCTGCTGGAAATCACCCAGCGGATTCCTGCAAAGCTCTTGGGAAAACAAAACCACTCAACACCGTGAAGAAGCCGTTCGAGTAGTTCAGGACAAAACTCACCAGTAGCCGGAGCATCTGGCTTACCCCCTCTTGCCGTCATGTTCCGAAACTTCGGTCCGCTTTTGATTGCTTCCTCGAGCTGCTCCCCTTCTGGTCAGGCCTTGCACTCGATGTAGAGTCAATGGCGCGGGTCCGTTCTGTGGAACTGTCCAAATGATCGGAGGATATCAGAGGTATCTGGCCACTGCCACTGCTCAAGTTCAAGTGAGACAACCTCGTTCCGCACAAGCAGGCTGGCTCGTCTCATGCATGAACCAACACGGTCCGGATTGTCAGGCTTTTACATGGCACTTGGTTAACCCAGTGGAGAGTCCAAGTTCGCGGACCTTGCAGAATGCCCAAGGCCTGTGCGGCACGAAAACTTTGGTTGCATGGTCGTCTGCTTGTTCAGAGCCGTGCAATCCAGTGAAACGCAAGCTTCGTGGAGACAAGGTTGCTTTTGCACAATAACAAGGCACTAGCTTCCAACAGGAGACCCTTTGCAGCAAGAGGAACACATATACTCTGGGGCAAAACCTGAAGTAACTTATTTCCGTATCTCCGTCAAAGCAGCATGAATGTGGATCTTACAGGTCGGGTCAGCAACGACACTTCTGCTAAACGACTGCATGCCTTACAGAATGACACAGCGGGTGCCTGCTAGAATGATGCTAGCACCTAAGTCTGCTCCAAGAACGATCCAACTTATTATTGGTTGTCACCAACCACATCGGGATCGAACGTCTATAGCTGAGGTGACTGATATATCCACCAGAAGGATAACTTGCGCTCGGTGTCCATTTGCTGACCCTTGGAGCTAACGACTATCCTACACACGAACTGCGGCTTCTTCGTTCGTTGAGACGGTCCCTCAAATAAAGAGAGTAGCAAAGGATTGGAGCTGCCCTCGAGGATGCAAAACGAACGTTTGAGGGACTGTCACAAAATGGGGCTTGAGGCCTAGCCGTCCGGCTCTGGGCTGGCGACCACTGCCGCAAACCTCAGTGAACCGATCTTCTGCTGCCACACATCTTCACATGGTAGGACTTGCTGGCTCCAAGAAGTTGTCTCGCCAGGTGCAGGAGCTGCACCTTCTTGATCCTTCTTGCCTGACCCGCTCAGCCTTGCTACGGGTGGACCTTCTTCCCTGGCTCCGGGCACGATTAGCGTAGGCTCGTCGCCGATGCCTTCAAGCGGGACTTGACCCTGTGAAAATTAAGGGTCCTCCCGACCGATCCTCTGAGACGCGCCGCGGGCTGCGTGTCACCTGTGCGGACATGAATACCGAGTGCACTGTCACGATAACGACACTACCGAGCCGCGTCGCAGACGACGAACTTTTGAACACAATACATGAAAGTTGATAGTGACCTTGCCTTCAAATAAAACTTCAAAGTGACCTTTGTTGATGTTGAGATCGGTTTAGTTCGTGTTGACTCGGGAACATGTTTGGCGGAACGCCGATGGCAACGAAATTTCATTGTTCAAGATGCTGGAGGCCAAATCCACACATATTCGAATCGGCCACGGCCGAAGCGGTCAGAGCTTCCTACTCGGATTCCCTCTAGTCCCCACCTCTTAATCGTCTCCTCAGTGACCCCTGAAAAAATAAAACGGGGGGGTCGTTTGTGTGGGCCCATAAATGAGCCCCAAGGTCCTGCGGTGAAATCTCGCCTCCTCCAATGGATTCCTGTTCCGTCCCCCACCCGTTCGCCCTGCTTTCCCTGCATTGCTTCCATCCAGCAAATGCCTCTGGTTGTTTGTACGCAATCTCCTCCCTTCCCCGGTCCTCGTCCGCTGCGCCAACGGCGCCTTCAAGGCACCAGCAGTTCGTTGGCCCTCTTTGCTTGCGGCCATGCCAAGGCGGACGACGCGAAGCATTTAAAACGAGTCACGTTAATTTGATTATATGCGTTGGCAGAGATGGTGAGCGTAAGTTCACCAATGCACGCACTCTATTTGGAATGAATCAAGATGTAGAGTGTCTCTCTTTTCGTCTCATATTGCTCTCGTTGTCAATTTTCTGTGCTTGCCCTTCACTTCTAGTTGAGGGTCATCAACGCGAAGCAACCATGCAGTTGCATGTAATGCGATGTGGCATGATGAATGCTGCAGTGTTGCATGGAAGATTGATTATGCATGATTTTACTACGACCCGTGAATTGCGCTGGCGATGTGGACCAGGATGTTGCAAGTTGTACTTCTCGTCACCAACAGCGAGCATGAAGCATAAAACCGAATCGTGCGCAGCTTCTGCTTTGTAGAATGGAGGTGTCACATCCCATTGTGTAGGTACAAGGCCAACTTTCCAGTCGCAACTCAGCTTCGCTGACAAACTGTGCATCACTTGTACATCACAATGGTTCGAAACGCAAGGCAGCCAGCTGACTTGTCATTCATTTTTGGGCCATGGACGCTCTGTTCTCGGAACGGATTAAAACAGAGAAAGTTGGGCAAGACCGACCCAGTCCAAAATGAAGGCATCAGAAACAGCAAGCACAAACATCAGCAAAACAAAGCGAAAACTGCAGTTTTCAGCAAAAAATCCGATCGAACTTTGGACCCGAAAAAAACAAACAAAAAGCATCCAAAACTGAGATAAACACTAGAAAAACATCTGCCGCAAAAGCTGAAAGCAAAAGGCATCAGTCGAGGAATACGCCATGGAGCAAAACAGAGAAGGCAACGAGTAGAAGGGCAGGTCGGCCAGCTGGCAGGAATAACATCACACCCATTTTTTAACGGAGTGCGCAGACACCCCCTGTCACAAAGCGTTTTAGAATCCTGGTAGTACAAACCCTATTGTGCTTCCTTACCATGCTTCTTAAACTTCGCAAACTTTGCCATTTCCAACTATGTGCATTTGGATACTATATATTTTCAGGCTAGATTGTTGAAGTTTAAACCAATATGAATGACTGAGGTGTTGATGCTTGAAACATGGGGGATCCCGGGAAGCCAAAAGATGTCTTGCAGGCTGTAAAGCTTCAACCTAACCGAAAGGAGACAAGCTGACAGACACAGCGGACCTAGTGTTTTCAGGAAGACCAAACCCGTTCAAGTATTGAAAGTTGTTCGGGAATTGAGTGCCAAGCTGGCATTGCAAGATTGAAGGCCGACATGAACCCTGAGCTTGAGCATGGCCCGGGATCCAAGAATCTTCAACGGGCCGAGCGATGACCGGTCAATGTGATCTACATGTTCGATGGCCGGCGGCCCCCCAGAAAGCGAAAATCAACTGAAAAGTTCCTGGGGGGTTCGATCGCTGTCCATTCGGGGCTAATTGGTTTTTAAGCTCTTTCGATGAGGAGACATACAACTCCCTTGCAGGATGCTGTTCTCAAGCCTCTTCTCTTGAGCATGCGGAATTGAACTCCCAGTGCCGACTGCGAAGTTTAGCACGCCCTGGCCTCTGGCTCCTTGTTGGACTTGTCCATACCGTCTGCGGGGTCTCCATCTGGCGGATCATGTTGCCTTGGTTCGTAAACAGAGCTACAGGGATGAGACTGCAAGACAGCACCAATAGAAGAAACCTGTTCAGCTCGAGATGCAGTTACAAATCCCATCCACCCAATGTCAATGTCATGGATCCGCAGCAACATGCTCAGGTCTGAAATTGAAAATCCTTTCTTGGGCCATGGCGGCGTGTGCAGCGATGCGAAAGGGCCCTTCGACTCGCCTGCTGCGAAGACAAGTCTTGGATCCCTCTGCCCTGTGCTGATTCCGGACTCTACCGCGGAACTTTCGGGCAAAAACTGACTCGCCATCCTCCACCGCTTTCCGCACGGTCCCGGCCACCTGCCCGCAGTGTGCGGCGGCTTTTTGGAAGTTACACTTAAAATCAAGTCTCATTTTCTTCCCCTCGAATTCGGCCTGGGTCCCAAGTCGTGGCTGAGTCTCCGCCTTGAAAAAGCAGACAAACTCACTCTCTCTCGCTCTGTCGCTCTCTCTCTCTCTCTCTCTCTCTCTCTCTCTCTCTCTTCGCGGAAGGGTGGGAGTGTCAAGAGTCCTTTCTTGTCGCCTCCTGGAGTCGGCAGCCGCGGCACGTCCTCTCGAAGAATCGTACCACTGCTGCTCATAGAAGCTCATGGAAGGGTTTCTTGTTTTGTTGGCACACCGAGTTCTTTTGGGTGTGTGTGTGTGAGGGTGCCAGAAGGCTCACTTCGGGCGTTCGAGCAGGTCACATTGCCCTTCACCTCAACATGCCCTCTCGAAAGCGGGAATCTGGGCGTGCCATGAGCCACAAAACAACTTTTTTTTCGACTGGTTGTGTGATAACAGGGGGGTTCGAGTGCGCTTGCTGCGCAATGCAGCCTCTCAGGCGCTTTTTCCTGCCATCAGCAACTGCTTAGCAAAGGCAACTCAAGGGGCCCCTAATTGAGCCAGGAATGCACCGGCGAAAGCCTTTGTGCAACTGTCACAGCAAGGAAGTGCATCAGACTACCAATGTCACAGCTCCCCGAACCTTGTTCGTTGCTGTCATCTCCTATTGCCACGGCATTATCTTTGCAGCTTCTTCTCTCCTAAAGCCAAAGCTTCATCCACGATTTGGTACCCACCGCTGCCCAGGAGGTCGTAGAGGGCGGTCTTGTTGCTGCCTTTCTGGGTCAAACCATCCATCACCATGTGCGGATGTGGCACGCGCCGTATCTCACTGTTGATTGCACTCATATTCAGGCGAATCACCCGACTCTCCACGCCCGTCCTTTTGTCCGCTGAGGGGCCAGCTGTCTCCTTTGAAAGGTGATCGTAGAGCGCCTTGGCATCCACTGTACAAGCAGCTCACGTGACTTTTCCCCCCGCGTTGAGGATGTCATTCGTTCATGCCGCTAGGCATTTGCCGTTTGGCATCTGAGAAAACTCTTTCATCATCCTGCTGTTGTGACACCGAAGGGTCTAGCCCGCGGTGTCACTGCAGCAAGTCTGCAGCACAAAAGACCAGGGAGGGAGGGCGGGAAGCTTGAGCAGAGGGCCAACGTTCGGATCGCAGCTTATCTGTCAAGCAGCTCACGTCACTTTTCCCCCCCGCGTTGAGGATGTCATTCGTTCATGCCGCTAGGCATTTGCCGTTAGGCATCTGGGAAAACTCTTTCACCACCCTGCTGTTGTGACACCGAGGGGTCTAGCCCACGGTGTCACTGCAGCAAGTCTGCAGCATATTTTCCCAGCCAGGGCATAAATTCAATAGACATCCGGCGCAACTTTTCCTCCGCTTGTCCCATGCGAAAGCGCGTCCTTTTCATGGTACCATGTTCGTAGAGAGATGGCGCTGTTGCTCAGGAAAGTGGCCTTTCGCAAGTCTGCTCCGAAATCCTCTGCTAAGGCAGCAATCAGCGCGCAGGTGGTCGCGGATTGCCTAGGGAGGAACGTGGTTGCCACGACCTCCTGCAGGTATACCTCCATTACCCGCAGCGATAGCCACCTTCCACGTCTTCTCACCAATTCGCTGTTCTCGGTCACCTGCAGCATCCATGTGGCTCCGCCCGGCCGGAAACTGGCTAGGTCAAAAGCAGCCTTACCATTATCAACCAGGCCCAACCGATCCAACACAACGCGAAGGCGTCGTCTGAGTGTACCGGAGGACATCGGCCATAAGCGGGCGTCAGGGTGCAGTCGGCCAAAAGGCAGATCCAACAATTGAATAATATCAATAGGATCAACCCGTACGGCTTGGTGGCGCGCAGCTCTGCCCCGGGTTTTCGGTGAGCGAACTTGTAGGAGAGCAAAAGAGGTTCCGGGCGCAGCATCAGCAGGCAAAATCACACCAAGCCAAGCCAAACACAGCAGCTTCTGTAAGCCATCCCCAGAAAAAGCGACGCAGAGAGGAGGGCTAGGAGAACGCCTTTCGGCAAAGCAGCATGGTGTAGAGGCGGTTCTTCGCTAAGCCACGCAAAGGCAAGGTCCCAAGCGTATGTCAAAGACCTCCGAACGCCTGGACGGAGGCTGGCCACTCCATTTATCGTCTCCGAATACTTGTAGTAAAGCAAACCAGAGCGAAACAGGTGCTGACCATAGGCCACCAAAGTAGCAGCTATAGTCTCGGCCTGGTCAAATGGCAAGGCGATGAGCTCTCGAAGAGAGCCCATCCCAGACGATAACAGCCAGCCGCTCACGATTTCCTCGTGTAGTAAGCCTCACGACAAAGTCTGCGACAAGAGCGGAGGCTTGCCTCCTTGCTGCTCTCTCGAGATCAGCAGGGGTCCGAGGCGCTGGGGAAGCCGTGGCGGCAAAGGCTGCTAGGAACCAGACCCTGAAGAACAACCACCCCTTGCCTGGGAATCCAAGAGAGGAATCGAAGTCAAGGAGGAGGCCGGAAGAGAAGTCAAAAGGTGGAGGCCAAGTCATAGTAGCTCCGAAGGATCTGGCACAGCTTCCACAGGGCACAGAGTCAGAAGTCTGTGTGCAGATCGATGCTCTCCACACAGCGCACGACACAAAGCAGCGGTACTTGTACTCTTGCCGAGAACGGGGACCAAAGACTCCAGTTCAGGGCCGGAGCGGTCGGCAGGGCACTTGCAGGCTACAAAGGAAGAAAAATTATCCCAGACAAGAAGGTGGATGATGAACAGAGAAAGGGTGGCCGCAGCAGGGCCTTCGCCGAGAAAACCACGAGTTGAATCGAAGGGAAAACCTCGCCTCGAAGTCAAAGGCGTAGGCGGCAACCAAGAAAAGCCTGGCCCAAGGGGCATCTCAGACGGAGCTGTCCGAGATTGTAAAAGGCCGGTGTGACATGAGCTCGTGGAGGCGCTGCTGGCAAGGTAGCCTAAGGCCCTGGAACGTCGGCGATAATCAGCCTCGTGGCGCGTAGGCGTAGGCGGGGTAAAGTCCAAAAACCAGCTGGGTTGCCGACGCGCGACAGAGGCCAGCTCGGAGGGCCAAAGAGCTGGAGCGTCCTTTGGCGGCGGCGCACTTCGCAACCTGCGAGTCAACAAGTGGGCTCCTCCAGCGCAACACGGCGGTGAAGGACGCCGACGGCAGCACTGTCTAAACAGGTTGCGGCTCCGTCCGGACCACGGAATCACTGTGTCGACATGCCAGGTGGCGCTGCTCAGAGAGTCATTGCAGACGACACTCTCAAGTCCAAACTTCTCACGCTGGTCCCCCGGTGGAAGGCTTTTGTAACAGCAAGGGCAAGGCCAGCAGGGAAGACGGGCTGGGCCTCAGATGGGGGAGGCCCATGCGCATGACCACCGAAACAGGCAGCTCGCAGACGCTCATCGACTAAGTTGCAACTAAGGGCTGCAACTCCCCTCGCTCAGAGGCTCCAAAGCGACATTTGGACAAAGTCCACACAGCAACTCCAACTCCTCTAAGCTTGCAGGCGGCACGCCACGGCTTAGAGCCAAGCCACCGGGAGTGCACGGGCAGCACGAAGCAGGAATGCCAGTTCTCACAGAGTAGCGAAAGAAAAGGAGTGCGCGGCAGAAGATGCCGGGAGCAGGGAGCAGGAAGAGGCCTCTCACCATGCCATTGGCCAGAACTGAATAGAGCCACGAAGCAGAACGGGGTTCCCAAGACGGAAGTGCGGGGAGGTCTGAGGGCCAATGGCGGGCCAACTCGCACGCCAAAGAGCCAGGGCCAACCTCAAGCACATCAAGGGTGAACGGAACACCCCTACTGGGCGCAGATGCCTCATAATCATCATCACCATCAAACGGCTCACCGCCAGCAGCCCGGAGGGCGGCCCTCGCAGGGGAGTCAAGCTTGCTATAGCCACCCTTACGGTCGCCACTTTGCAGTCTTAGCGTGGAGGTGGGCGGAGCAGACAGCACCGCGGCTAAGCGAGGCATCAGTGGCATAGACCTTGGAGCGGGCGGTGGCAGTGAGGTCGGTCGCCAGCAAGCCGGCCTTGCTCAGAGGGCAAACTGAAACCCGTGCACGGCGGCAGGCTGAGCCGAGACCACAGGGCCAAAGGGAGTCGCCTTGCCAAAGGAGCGGCTGCAGCGGCGACGCCCGCACGGACCAGTTCAGGCCGGGCATCGAGTTCAGCACTGATAGCTGTAACAAGCGAGGCGCCAATGACATCCTTCTCTGCAACAGCCTCGGCCTGGTAGGCTTCCTGTGCCCGGGAATGCAAAAGCGACGCTTCACACTGGAGGGGGTAAGAGGCGGTGGGGACGATAGAGACATTGACGAAGTCATCAATCACGAGGGGCGGGAGGCAGCGGTTACGCAGCAAGCTGCCCGGAACCAGGGCTCCCCATCCTTGCAAAAGTTGAGTGTGCAACACCCAAAAGATCTCCTTGAAAGATCGAGGAGACGCACGGGATGAGCCCTTTTCCCATCGTGGCTGGCGCCTTTAAGAAGGGAGGTCAGAGCAGACAAGCCTTGGAGCTCCTCAGGGCTGAAGCAGAAGGGGAGGCCGTTGGTGCGACTGCGCTCCTCCGAGACCTTGCCCTGACGGTAAAAATCTTTTCGGCCCGAAACAAAGGCGCTCAAGGTCTCGCCTCGCACCACCGCCAACAGGAAGCCAGAAGGCAAGTGTGACATGTCACTTTAGCTCAAAGTGTGTAGCTCAGACGGTTCGAGCGGTCATCTTTTTCTAGCCCAGCGGTGCACTCTAGCTGCTAGCACTGCACGGACGATCTGCCCCAGCCCAGCCCAGCCCAGCCCAGCCCAGCCCAGCCCACCCCGCGCAGCCCAGCCCCCCTTAGCTCTTCCTCGCCCTCGCCCTGACGAGCAACACAGGCATTGCATGTATGCCCGTATCGCCGTGTGTCTAGCGCGTAGTACATGCGCTTGTTGCACTGCTCTAGCATACACTCCTGGCACTGTACAATACACCGGAAGATAGCACCATTCAGGCCCCATCTCCCGATACCGGTTTGCCGCCACATGGCCTGTATCCGGAATAGCCGCCACTAGCTCTCTCCCCCTGATTTTGGTCGAGACCTCGACGAAGTCGTTGGGCTCTAGCGTGTATAGCCGGGTGAGCTCTTGCACGTTGCCTGCGTTGCAGTCTCGCACTCCGGTTGGCAGGGTCTCCCTTTTGGACTGGCTAGCCACGGGAGGGGCGCTGGTTATCCGGTGAACGGCTCTGCGGACGGTC